ACGAGACTCACCGTGATGATAACACCACCACTGACCAATGTTCACTAGCGGGGTGACGAGCTCAGCCTGTATGATAACCCCACCACTGACCAATGTTCACTAGCTGGTGACGGGGCCCTCGCCTGTGATGATAACACCACCACTGACCAATTTTCACTAGCTGGTGACGAGGCTCCAGCCCTGTGATGATAAACACCACCACTGACCAATGTTCACTAGCTGGTGACGAGACTCAGCCTGTGTGATAACACCACCACTGACCAATGTTCACTAGCGGGTGACGAGCTCAGCCTGTGATGATAACACCACCACTGACCAATGTTCACTAGCTGGTGACGAGGCTCAGCCTGTGATGATAACCCACCACTGACCCATGTTCACTAGCTGGTGACGAGGCTCAGCCTGTGATGATAACCCACCCCTGCCCAAATGTTCACTAGCTGGTGACGAGGCTCAGCCTGTGATAGATAACCCACCACTGACCAATGTTCACTAGGGGGTGACGAGGCTCAGCCTGTGATGATAACACCACCACGGGACCAATGTTCACTAGCTGGTGACGGGCTCAGCCTGTGATGATAACACCACCACTGACCAATGTTCACTAGCTGGTGACGAGGCTCAGCCTGGGGATGATAACACCACCACTGACCAATGTTCACTAGCTGGTGACGAGGCTCAGCCTGTGATGATAACACCACCACTGACCAATGTTCACTAGGGGGGTGACGAGCTCAGCCCTGTGATGATAAACACCACCACGACCAATGTTCACTAGCTGGTGACGGGGCTCAGCCTGGATGATAACACCACCACTGACCAATGTTCACTAGCTGGTGACGAGGCTCACCTGGGGATGAAACACCACCACTGACCAATTTTTCACTAGCTGGTGACGAGGCTCAGCCTGTGATTATAACACCACCACTGACCCAATTTTTCACTAGCGGGTGACGAGGCTCAGCCTGTGATGAAACACCACCACTGACCAATGTTCACTCATTTTTCTTGTTTGTATACCCCTCAGAAGGTTCCTTGATGTTGGTGAGGGCTCTTGATTTAGGGAATTGGATCTGTGCTCCAGTTCCCCGAATTAGGCCTGAATGCCTTCCACATCCTCCCCCCAGGCGCTGTATAATCCTACGGGTTTAGTGCTTCCCTTTGATTATAATAATAATAATCTTGTTTGTATATCATAAAACATTAGTTTATCAAGTAAAGTGATGCACAAACGTATATGAAGGTGGTATTGTATACACATTAAATCCTGTTACTTTTATTTTGGTAAGGAAGAGAAGCAGAAGGTATATAATGGTGGTGATATTAGACAATAGTTAGGAAGATGTGGAGCTTCCACAGCCTTATCAGACTCAAAGATTATTGATAAGGTCAGTTCCTCCTTGTAGAAGTTAAAAGACTGAAAAATCATGATAACATAGCAAGATAAACAATTTTATTAATAATATGTAGAACTTGTATTGAATATAAAACAAACATGAAAATAATCCTACCTGAAGCAGGAATGAAAAATGTAATAAATAATTACTGACAAAGCTAATATGTACACAATGAATAAGTGAATAATGTAGCGGTGACGCGCCAGTGTTCTGGCCATGTAACTCTGTATCATGGTTTGTAACGATGAGTCGGTGTCGATGTCCAGGGAGGAAGGGGGGGGGCACTGGTGGACGTGACTTGTGACACGACAAGAAAACAGAAAGTGACCCCAACATGAGTAGAGAATCTGAAGAGAGGTACTGGGAGCATCTGAGAACCCGTCTGAAGAAGTATTCACCAGATGGGAACCACAATGAAATTTTGGTGGGGTGGGGGGACAAATGGGAAAAGGCTTATGGATGGCATGTATATGATTGCGTGTCAGCTACGAGTGGAAGGAGACCAGTTTAGGAACATACCAATTTGTGAACATTAAAATGGTATAAAATACCGACAGGTTGTTAGGTAAGACACATATGCAACAGTTAGGTATCTTTATTTCGAAACGTTTCGCCTACGCAGTAGGCTTCTTCAGTCGAGTACAGAAAAGCTGATAGAAGCAGAAGATACTTGAAGACGATGTAATCAGTCCATCACCCTTGAAGTTCACTCTGTCAAACACTGCAACACAAGGGTATCTTGGTACAGACCTGCAATCAACTTTGTCAACTTCTACTAGTGAGAATGGCTGGATTTGAGAGGGACCTGACCTTCCAACGACAACATTCTTACCTCTACTAGTGGCCTACATCTCACCTCCTGGCGGTATATAGGCTCCATCCTGTCACTCCAACTCCATATTGTTTCAGGCTATGGAACAATACCCTTCTCCAGACTGAGGGACTGACCACCTCAAAACTTCAAGGGTGATGGACTGATTACATCGTCTTCAAGTATCTTCTGCTTCTATCAACTTTTCTGTACTCGACTGAAGAAGCCTACTGCGTAGGCGAAACGTTTCGAAATAAAGATACCTAACTGTTGTATATGTGTCTTACCTAACATACCAATTTGTCTCTGATCTGAGCTTAGATCTTTACTGCTCCTCTTATCTCACCTGTGTTGCATGACCCAAGCAGACAATCAAGGCTATAAAAAGAAACGGAAACTTTCAAACCATTCAAGGAATCGCCCACATGATATATGTACCGCCTTTACAAGAAATGGTGAGGACAAATATAGTAACGATACTCTACGTAAGTCCAAATTAGATCAGGTTGAATTACCAGAGTGAAGCTTTTGTTTAAACTAAATTAAACGAAACACAAAACGCATTATTAAACATGAATGGATTGGATACTTACAGACTTATTGGAGTCGAAATACAAGTGACTCTCAACTGGTTGGAGGAACACACGTCAACTTCCACCAGGTGGACAAAGGAGGGGGAGGTGGGGTAGGGTAGTAGCGGTACCTATGCACACACCTTACAGAACAAGTATACCGCCCAACACACTACCACAACCACTCTTCATACAGAAGAGAAACACGGGGTATATAGAGGTGGTGGTATCAGACAATGGTAAGGAAGAGAAACACAGGATATATAGTGGTGGTGGTGGTATCAGGAAATGGTAGGGAAGAGAAACACAGGGTGTATAGTGGTGGTGGTATCAGACAGTGGTAAGGAAGAGAACCACAGGATATATAGTGGTTGTGGTATCAAACAGGTGCACAACTTTTTTTTTGACTAACTGGCGGTATCACACCGAGACAGGGTGACCTAAAAAGAAAAACGAAAGTTTCTCTTTTTAAATTTAGTTATTTATGCAGGAGAAGGGGTTACTAGCCCCTTGCTCCCGGCATTTTAGTAGCCTCTTACGACACGCATGGCTTACAGAGGAAGAATTCTGTCCCACTTCCCATGGACAGGTGCAAAACTTATCAACTTAAAATACACAAGTCATTTATTTTCACAAAACAAAAGTTTAACAACTAAATTTATGCACAATATATACAAGGTACTGTATCCACATATTTAGTCTCCTTCCATTATAACCCTGATTATGCAAACGAAAGGAAGCAAAGGATATATAAATCCTGGAGTCCCTCTCAATTTGTATATAAGCATTATTTCTAGTATTCTCATATTTTAGTCCTGATTATGCAAAAGATATGAAAACACTACATGTACTGACTAGTTGGGACGAAACAATTAATTCACATTTGTTAGTTTTCACTAGACTCCCGTGATAATAAACATTTCATATATAAAAATTGAACACTATGATGGCTCATTGAACTTCCAACATAAACACTGATCATGGCGGAGCCACAAGATTATTCCTTCATTTTCTACTTTAATTACTGTATATTTCACACTTTATTATCAATCACTAACATATTCACTGTTTGTATAAATACTTCTATGTTTAGTGAATGACTGTTAATGTTACAGCATCGTGTAGTTACAGTGAGATTATCAGCTTAATGACCGTTAATGGTACATCATCGTGTAGTTACAGTGAGATTATCAGCTAAATGACTGTTAATGGTACATCATCGTGTAGTTACAGTGAGATTATCAGCAATATTACTGTTAATGTTACAGCATCGTGTAGTTACAGTGAGATTATCAGCTAAATGACTGTTAATGTTACAGCATCGTGTAGTTACAGTGAGATTATCAGCTTCTTGCCTTTCTGTACTTACTTTTAGGTATTTCTCTCTATATTTACACAGTCATAAACAAACATCAAGTGTCATCAACAAAATGCCACAAATTTTCACCTGTCATCCTGACAGATCGCGTCTTAATATATTATTGTATGTCTGTAGCTCCAGTAGCAGAGCTTTGCTTGTGTCACCTTCACTATCTGGTATTAAATTTTATTTTGTTGAATTTTCAGTGATTGTATTATTTACTGTATCCACACGTATATAATCTTATTCATTGCCCTATCCCGTAGCTCCATTGCTAGCGCACTCAGCTCCCACATTGAAGCCCGTGGTTCAGTCCCCAGTAAGGGTGGAAACATTAGGACGTGTTTCCTTAATTAAGGCACCTTATGTCCCTGTTCACCTAGAAGAAGATAGGTACCTGGATGTTAGCTGACTGGTGTGGGTCGCATCCTGTGAAAAAACTAACCTAGTTGCCCGAAGTGCTCTCTGTAACAAAGGGCTTTTTATATAGTAGCGCATGTAACTGAAGTAAGTTAGGCTTGTATACCTTGTACATGTACTTGTAGAAATAAAGATTATTATTATTATTATTATTATTATTATTATTATTATTATTATTATTATTATTATTATTATTATTATTATTATTATTACTTTGTGATGAAGCGTATTAAACATCATTACAACAATTGTTCTTGTGTAAGTCAGTTGACAAATAACCAACATGGTGTAGAACAAACTTTATACAACACTGTGATCTGTCTCTGGTCATTATAAAGTCACAACTGACTTAATAATAATCCAGGACAGACCAAATTGTCATTTAAAGTTTCCTGTCCCAAGTATGGAGTATTTTTTCTAATATTCTTATTACTTTACAGTTGTGACAGGGGCCACAGATGGCATCGGGAAGGCATATGCTATTGAACTGGCCAAGAAGGGTATGAATATTGTACTGATCTCCCGCACACAGGAGAAGTTGGAGAAAGTTGCCCAGGAGATCCGTATGTTGCACTAACAGTTTTAGTTCTTTCACTAGTTTTATTGTAGACTTACTGAGTCATGTGCAGTTTATAGGCATTTTAACCTTACAAACAAATGAACAGTGTTATGGTAATGTTATTTCGTTGAGATTCAAAATGTCAAAACCATCCATATCAGATATGCACTTTACTCTCTGTGAATTTTAATACAGCGAGGGACCAGTAACCCCTTCTCATGTATTTATTACTAAATTTAAAAAGAGAAACTTTCGTTCTTTCTTTTTGGGCCACCCTGAAGATATATATATATATATATATATATATATATATATATATATATATATATATATATATATATATATATATATATATATATATATATATATATATGTATATATATATATATATATATATATATATATATATTATATATATATATATATATATATATATATATATATATATATATTTCTTGAGTCAGAGGAGGAAATAAAGTATAGCTTGAGGTATGACTGATGATGAAGCCAGCCAGCCACAAAGCCAGGGAAACAGTGCAGCCAACAATGAAAGAAGAGGCACATGTCATGTGTGTGGAGAGTTTCGAGCACGCAACAGGGATGGCCGCATTCATGCACACAATGGGTGTACGGGATCACATATGCCCCCAGCAGAGAGCAGCCCACAGCCTCCACAGGCAGATGACAATTCCAATGGCAACCTCCTCACTTGCGATAACCTTCTGTTGGCATTCAAATCCACTGCTATCAGTACCCTATCCCACTTCCCTAAAGCGGCTCGCCCATATGCAGCAGGGAAATTCACAGACCTTCTTAAGCAGGTGAATGGAGGTTCCACCAACTTAGAAGCCCGCGGCACCATCCAAGCATGGCGCAACTTACTCCTGTTCGGCAATGTCTGTCTTGCAGTTCCTGAGAGACGAGGTAAACTGCTAACCACGTCAGTTACCAAGGCAGTGCGCAACTACCCAAAAACGGATAATTGTGTCCACTCTGCCCCATCATCGCAGGAATCACAGAGGTAGACCCAAGAAAAGTCCCACTGAAAACGAAAAATCTGCGCACAGGTTAGCAAAAAAATCGAAGAAAGTAGCACAGTGGGAGCAATCCGAATAATTACAAGTGACGACACTGTAGCCCCCAAAGATGAGACCACAGCCCAAGCACTAAGAGACAAGCATCCAACCAGGGACACCATAGCCATCAACAACAACCCTGAGAAAGACCCCATCACTGAACAATTAATTTTGCCAGAATCGGAAGTCTATAAGGCGATTGTGTCATTTCCAGCAGGATCTGCGAAAGGTCAGACAGAGAGTGTGTCTTCCTGGAGCTGGTGTTGGTGACATAGCAGGTTGGATAATATTATGGCAGGTAATGGGAACAAGCCCATTATCTGTCTTAGTGCTGGGGGTAATGACATTGGGAAGGGCAGGAGAGAGGAGCTGCTGGATAAGTACAGGTCAGCCACAGAAGTAGTTAGTTCTAAGGGAGGGATCCCAGTCATATGTAGCATCTTGCCTAGAAAGGGAGTGGGCAATGAATGGATGTCTAGGGCAAATGGTATAAATTGCTGGCTAGACAGGTACTGCAAGGAACTTGCAATCCCATTCATTGATAACTGGGACCTATTCTTTGGCAAACGTGATATGTATGCAAGGGATGGGGTTCATCTCTCTGGGGATGGAGTGGTTGCATTAGCCAATTCAATTGAGAGGGTAATTGATGACTTGTCTAGGAATTTAAACTGATAGATTATAGAGGTATGGGTGTTTGTGGGAAACAATCAGACTGCAGCATTAGGGTTAAAACAGCCGTTATTACCGAGATACCTCAGGGATATGTTTAAAAGACAATATTCAAAATAAAGTTGCTAGTAATGGCAAATCAATTGATCAACAAACAAAGAGGGATAGTAGAGGGCAACGAGTGACGTGCTCCTTTAAGGAAAACTTCGGTGATCTCATCAATTCTTCTCACCGAGTTAACAACTTTCGTCAACAACTGCCTGGCTGGGCGAATCCCAGAAGAAATTAATTTTTTTTTTTGGAGCCTCAGTATGTGCGTTGAAGAAGGATGAGGGAATCAGACCCATTGCGGTTGGAAACACTCTTCACCACCTCGTTGCCAAAGCAGCAGTAAGAAACATTCGCTTAGTAGCTGCCAGTTTACTCCAGCCACACCAACTGGGCTTTGGGGTCTCTCAAGGCAGAGAAGCTGCAGCTCATGCGGCAAGGGCCTACATCAGGGACCTACCAGAAGACAAGGCCGTAGTCAAACTTGATTTTAAAAATGCCTTTTATATGGTGAAGAGAGATGCTGTCTTGCCAGCTGTTCAGGATCGGTTCCCCAGTCTTTTTTTCTTCATTTCAGCCGGCTACAGCAAACACTCAATTCTTTTGTTTGGAGAACATGAAATTCTCTCATCAGAAGGTGTTCAGCAGGGTGACCCACTAGCTCCACTTCTCTTCTGCTTGGCAGTAAAAGAACTAACTTCCAGCCTATGCAGCGAGCTCAACATCTGGTACCTGGATGATGGCAATCTGGCAGGTACTGAAGAGTCCCTGGTAGGGGACCTACAACTGGTGAAAACACAGGGAGAAGACTTGGGACTCATCCTCAATTCCTCCAAGTGTGAAATCATCATGGCGAACCAGGAAATAATCAATGCTGTGCTAAGAATCCTCCCAGAAGTCTCTACTACTACTTCTTTACCACTTCCACTCTCATTCTCATGCCATTGCAGTGTACACAGATGACTCTAAGTCTTCTGACGGCGTAGGATTCACAGCAGTGTTTCCGGACAGCGTCGCACGAGGGCATTTACTATCTTCGGCTAGTATCTTTACTGCTGAATTGTATGCCATTCTTGCAGCACTTATCCGTATTGCATCTATGCCTGTGTCATCATTTGTGGTTGTCTCAGACTCCCTTAGTGCTTTACAGGCTATACAGAAATTTGATACACCTCACCCCTTAGTCCTCCGTATCCAACTTTGGCTACGCCGCATCTCTTCCAAGCATAATGATATTGTTTTTTGTTGGGTCCCTGGTCATGTTGATGTACAGGGCAATGAACAGGCAGACACTGCTGCGAGGTCAGCAGTACATGACCTACCAGTTTCATATAGAGGTGTTCCATTTACAGACTATTTTGCTGCAATAGCTACCCACCTTCACACCCGTTGGCAACAACGTTGGTCTACTTTGCTCGGTAACAAACTTCAATCTATTAAACCGAGTATAGGTTACTGGCCGTCTTCTTGTCACCAGTGTCGAGGTTGGGAAAATACTCTCTCCCGCTTCGTACGGCCCCATACCGTCTTATCAGGGGTTTATCTCAGGGAGAGGGCCGCCCCTCTTTTGGGGAATTCTCGGGTCCTTTTATGGTTAGCCACATTATTAGACTGCCCCTTTACAACGAGACGCAGAATATACTAAAACCGTCTTCACCCCGCTGCTTCTCTTTCCCTTCCCCTTCCCGCTGATGGCCCCACCTTTACCCGGGACTTTTCCATGACTTTTTGATACAACTGACTTACTTCACAAACTCTGAGATCCTTCAGCCCTTTTTCTACCTAAATCCTTGCTGCCGTCACCCCCGCACTATCCCCGCCCCCCTGTTTTCCCGTAACCTACTGATCACCCTCCCCTTCTACGCCCCAAAACCCTCACTTCCTTCCCCGCCCGCAGCACTGCTAGTCCTTTTGGGGTTAGGCTTTTTTTTGATTATAATAATAATTAAAAATTTAAAAAAATAAATAATAAAATTATAAAAATATTTTTCGGCTCAGATTTAATTATAATTTGTTATTGAATTACTAAATACCTTCAATATTTAAAAAATATGTATTCTTAGTTCAGTACTTACAATCATTTTTCAGTTTTTGACTTGAAATGCTTTGCATTTTAAAAAGGGGCTTTCTGTAAAAATATTTTTATAGTAGTGAATCACCCCAAATTGATAATATACTGTACTTCACCATGAAATAAATTTTGAATGTTTGACTGGAAAAAAAAGTTTCCCCTAACGTCAATTTTATCAACTATTAAACTGTCATTTTTTATTTTTAGAATCTATAACATGTGGTGCAAAATTTTGTCACCCAGAAATCTGTTTTCAGGACTTTCTGATCAAAGGGGATTCTTGATGATACCAGGAAAAATGCCGACGTGAACCCTATGAGAAAATTTTGGGGGAGAGGTGAGAGGTCTAATTAGGGAAAAATACGGTCCTCCTACGGCTGGAGGAGCCATCCGTAAACGTGATGGAATTTACCCAATAAAACCCCAGGAATGCATATTAATCACTCCCCAGGTGTTTGAAGTATGTCCCAAACTGTAAAAGTATTTTTTTTAATTTCTTTATTATGCACCCCCTACCCCTCGTGGGGTGGGGTGAAAAGATTAAAGGCATAACAAACCTCCCCGGGGGGTTGAACCCCCGGTCAGGGGTCCAATCCCCCCCCCGGGTAGGTTGTTTGAAATCGTGTCATTTCGATTTCGTGAGTCTTACAGAGGGATATAAAGGGGGCTATGTCTGGCCACAAAGTTTTGATAGCTAAAAAAGTTACAGTGGGGAATGATTTATTGACATGTTTATATATAGTTACAATCATAATGAGTCATTTATGTTAAACGAATTAAACTGGTAATGATCTATTTACATGTTTATATCTGGTTACAATCATAATGAGTTATTTATGCAGACATAAATTAGGTTACACATACATAAATAATTAATGATTATACATTATTTACAGTGGGCAGTCAGGGTATTTTTCCAGATTGGTTGGTAATATACTACTTTGGATAATTCTTTGACATTTCTTGAACATTTCTAAATTTATTAATTTGATCACATTCCAGTATACAATGACGCAAGGTATGACAATATTCCATCTGGTGGTGGTGATAACCTCCCAGAGATACTGGTAACCCAGCAGAAGCCGAGCTGTAGTGACATCCAAGAGTCTGCTTATTTTGTTGGAATCCCCATATATA